TAGCATACTATTTATTATCTGTTAAAATTCATTAGAAACTACAAAATACAAAATTTTGTGATTTCAAAAAAAAAAAAAAAAAAAACCAAGAATAGAGTGTGTTCAAAAGAGTATGTTAGAAGGTGAGTTGTTAGCATTTCTCTATGAAAAAATTAACATACATTTCGACAGCCACAAATGCACCAAGGTACTTTGATGTTACAAATCGGCACAATACATTTTACTCAGTTAGCCCGTCATCTGAGTCCACAAACACTAGTTTTAATAATGAAAAAAAAAAAATGCATCCATGACTTTTTTATACTCTAAAGTCAAAAAACTATAATCTCGTATGCATACTTTCACAGTTCCAATTTCACCATACATCAGACTACTCTGGAAAATAGTCAACAAAAGTATCATGATCAGAAACCATACAATCAGTTTCCCAGCACAGTAGCAAAAGAAAGGGCAAGTAAATTTCAAACACAGTCATCATACTATATTCAACCAAAACCTAACCCAAAGGAACCATAATTCGTAAGTTTAAAAACTATTATTTATATTGTATAAAGAGTTCTTACTCGACCAATTAGAAATCATACTAGAGATGACTTCTAGAATAGTTATTGTAAAAATCAACAAGATTACCATACATGGCAGTTTCTAATTGGTTGACAGTGTAAAAACCTTTTAAAATTATGTTTACTTACAATTGTAATTCTTTAATAAGATAGAATAGAAGCTTTCTCAGGAAGTGTAGAGTAGAAGTTGGAACATATGCAACAATGAGTCAAAATTTAAGGCCCAAAAATGGAAAAGGAGGAGGAAAAACCTGCAGTGGCGAAGAGACTCATAGCGCTCCTTCTCGGTCATAACAGTTTTGCCCTTATACTTATGGGTGATCTCATCATTGCAGCATCCAACAAGGAGATAAGTGTTTGGAAACCTTCAATTAAGAAAAAACCAAAGGATTGAAACAGCATGAACAAGTTCCCTCAAACAACAACTGAGTATAAAAAAAAAATTAAAAAAAAAAAAAAAAAACCCTGTTTTGAAGTCAACCCAAAAAACCAAATTGGGAGTTAGCATATTGAAAGTGAAGTTTAGTCCATGAATATGCACCAAGCAACCAACCCAATGAACTAAAAATCATAAAAACGTGTTCTTTAGAAGTGAAAAATGAAGCAGAGGGAAATGGGTAGGTGGTTATGAAATTACAGTTTTTTGGCTTGCTCAAGAGAACGGGCATGGCCAAAGTGAAAGAGATCATAAATCCCATCAGCATAAACTCGAACAGGAAGAGTTTTGTTTAGAGCAACTTGGGACTCATCTTCTTCTTCCATCACTCTGCGTGCGTGTGAAGGAATGAACAAAAGAGTGCGTGCGATTCGAGTACAAGATCTGCCCACAAACCGTTTGGACCCGCCAACCCAATGGGTCAAACGGTAACAACTAACAAATGGGTTTGGCTTTGCTTCATATTGATTATTCACCATCTTCAATTTATGTCCCACCAAAACCATTCTGTGAATAAGATTGGCTAAAAATCTATACACATTAGTATAAAAGTATAAATATATCCTTAATAAAAAGGTAAATATTCAACCATACTTTTTATTGATGGTTAAATTTTTTTAAAAAAATATATATGAAAAAGTTTAATAAATAATTAAATACATAAAATTTTAAATTAAAAATTGTAATTGAATTTTATTTTATTTTTTATAATTTTTATAATTAAGTATCTAGAATTAATTTGTAATTTGGAAGAGATGATATAAGTGGGTTTGTAAAGAAATTATGAGAATTCATGTGTATTTAATTCCATTCTTTTATAGGTAGATTTGTGGAGAATTTTTTACATAAAAAAAATGTTTAGATAAGACTAACTTTACACTATTATCTAAATAGTTAGTTGATAAAGAATAAAAATATAATTTTTTAAATAATATATTTTTACATAAAAATCTTACTATATACAATAAAATTTTAAAATATCAATTTTTCTCTTTTTCTTATTTAATTTCACTCTATCAAATAATTTCAAATTTCATATTATTTCTAACTTATTTTCTATCAAATTAATTGTTGCATATTTTTTTCCATTCCCTTAAATACTTCTTTCTCCCCAAACAAAACATAAAAGCGGGATTCGATTACAAAAATTATATAAAACAACTAATTATATTTATTTTAATTTAGGAATACAATTTAAAAATTTTGAGACACACTAAAATTAAAATTATTATTATTATTAATATAATTTAACATTAAATAAATATAATATCATAATTTTATAACACAAAATTAACATAATATTTGATGTATATGTAAAATTAAAATACCATTTAATATATACATAAAATTTTAAAATAAATATAATATAATATTTATATTTATATTTTAATAAAATACAATAATATCCATTAATAATGATAAATTTATCTAAAATAATAATTATCAAATTAATATAATATACATTATAAAAAATTAAAATATTAATAATAAGTATAAATTAATATATAAATAATAAATAATATTGTTATAGATGCACAACCTTACTATCAATTTGGTTTTTTTTGGTCAATCATACACTATTAATTTGGTATTTTTTAATTCAACATTATTAAAAAAAATCAATTAATATTTAATAAATAAAATGAAAGTTCAAGTTTCAAATAACTTTTTTTTGTTAATTATAACTTTAGGAAATATTTTAATATTATTGATTATTAAAAAAGTGTGAAACTGGTTTGTGTGTTTTTCAAATATTAAAATAATATTTTGATTTTTTTTTTCTTTCAAACTACCTCTTATATGCAGTAGTATTTTTCACTCAACTGACCGAGGCTCAATGCGAAACATGGGTCCCAATAAATTATGACGTGGAATAATCTTTAATGATGGTTTCTTTTTTTTACGTGAAAGCGACGTCAAATGTTGAATAGTAGACTCTAGAATACCCACGTAATATCTTTATCCTATCTGATTACGCTTGCTTTTAATGAAGAACGTGTTCTATATTAAATGAATATTATTATTTTTTTAATTCAATCTTAATTTTGATCACTTGTATTTTACAATTTTATGTATTTAGACACAATTTTTAAAACTTTTATATTTTTCCTTTTTTTTTTTAAAGATAGAAAATATTACAAAGATGGTTGCAATAGAGATTGAACCTAGGTTTTCAGGCTTCTAGCTATCCCAACTCCTCCCATTCAACTACTAGGTTAACTCCAATAGTCTCATATTTTTCCATTTTATTTATTAATTATCATATAACACATTAATATTAATATTTATAACACATTAATATTAATATTTATAACACATTAATATTAATATTGATTAATATAAATAGCAGTAATTTATATCATTTAATTGAGTTGTCTAAGATTTAGATCATAACGTTGGATATGGAATGAAAATCATATTAGGATGAAAATATCAACATCTTGTATGTTTATGATCTTCAGCGAAAATCAGTTACTGATTCTCATAATGAATACTTTGAACTTGATCATTGTTATTAAACAGAAAAGTAACATGTTAATTACTAACATATATATTAGTTGTTGATTACTGATATACATAAATAATGATCAATTAATGAAGTAGCGAAATATATAAAATTTTAAATATTAAATGTCCAAATATACAACTTTAAAAGTTAAATGATGAAATTTATAAAATTATAAAATAAAAAATTATATAATTAAATCTTTTATTTTTATTAGTGAATAAAAAGACACAAGATGTCTCCATTAAAAAAGAGAAATAATAAATTTATCTTAATAATCTATAGGATTATTAAAAGTTATGTATAATTATTAAGAGTCAAATAAAAAAGATAAAAAAATATATATATAAAAACTAAATAAGGAGATTTTTTATTAGTATAGACAATGTGGACTACATGATAATTGAATAAATACTCCCAAAAATAAAATACTCATTTTGTTCTGTAAATGAGAAAGAAAACAAAAGGTTAACAAGCTACACGAGTCCTATGAGCCTACAACGTGTTGGACAAAATGCAACATAAAGGTCCAAATAAAAGATTGGAGCCACCTAAACTACTAGCTACCCAATTTGTTCAACTATTAACTACTCAAGGCCAAGGAGTTTCAAAAAATTAAGGATGTTAGTTAAGATAGGTTGAATGAGTGGACATGGAGGAAAATCCAAGTTAATGCACTTCATTACAGCCTTAGCATATTTTTATTGGGAATCTCTTGAACAAACTCAAACCATGATCTAACACATTTCACTATGCCTTTCATTCGACTCAATTCTAAATTGGTTTTAATGAATTTAAATTTTAAATTTAAACTCAATATATTTTTGAAGAAAGTTTCAATTATGTTTCGAGTCATCCGATCTATTTTGATTTTTTTATTTTTAAAAAAATATATTTATAAATCATTTTGTAAGAATAATAATTGGATAAAACGTTATTTGGGTATTTGAAAGTGATATCATTAACACTTAGGTTCTTAAGTATATTTTTTTTTTTGAAAAAACAAAATCTTTCAAAATACAAAATGTTACTAACTTTTGTCTAAAATTATAAAAAAAATGTAACTTAAATGATAATATTAGTGTATATATAGAGGCGAAAATGATAATAAATTATTGCTTTTAAGGACTTAATGAAATAATTAGAACTTTCAAAAATTTATTCAAAATTTTCATACTTTTAAGAACTAAATAGCTAACAAACTGGTGTTTGACCCAATAATAATTTTTTATTTGATACTTAATAGCATATTATTATTGTGATTTTCCATTACTATCAATTGGTCTCATTGTGTTTGGTGGGGCTTTTATGATAAATCGTGACAAGAATTGCTTCAATTAACAACTATAAACACAGGTGGGATCAACATTATAGTTTCAAGTTCCTTCATTTCTTCCCAAATTAACTAGAAATGAAATCAACAAAGATAGAAGATTGAGTAGTCTTTTGAATTCTAAACAAAGGTTTAGGAAGGAAGAAAATACACGACTTATTCAAAAAAATTGAATGTTTCAAAGGACCAAATTACATGCATTGGCCAAAAGGCAAATGATTTTCTGTAACGAATCAAAGACAACTTTAATGAATATTATGATCATGAATGAGAGAGAAAAATAAGTACACTAAAATATTGTTAGCAAAAGATGTATTGTGCAATTCAAAAACTTGTTAGGTGTTACATACAAGACGACCAAAGAAACAAAAGTCAGAGCTTAAGAATAATATCATGAATGATGCATTTGTTGTTTTGGATCAAGATGGAGAAACATTCAAATTTGAGAACGTGCAATGATTATTGAAAGATAATCCAAATGAAATTCAGAGTGGAGTGGAGATTCTTCAAAAATAACATATCTACTTCAATGGAGTACACATCACATCTCTACCGAAAATGCTATCAAATTATGAAGTTGACCCAATATCCTTTTTACAATGTCCAATGGGAACAAAAAAATGAAATAAAAGAAGGCTAAATCAAACCTAAAGAAACATTTTGGATTATTGTAGAGATTAAAACAATACAAGAGCAATGTTGTCAAATATCGATTATAATAGCATTATAACAAAATAACGTGGTGATTTGGAGCTCCATCACCATTCACTATTCATTTTATAACGTTTTATGGCAGTACCCCCTATTTTCATTATGGTGCCTACCATGGCATTGTAAAGCTTTATGGCAGTCATGGCATTTAAAAAAAAACATTTTTGGGCTTCAACCTAGGCCTAAATACATAGGGCATTCTTTTTTCTTTTTTTTGACTCATTTCTTCACAAAGTCACAAACACTCTACAATTGAAGAGCTCACGCGAAGTCCTTGCCCTAGGTTGCTAAACTTCATTCAACTTCAACCACCATTCTTTGGTCACCTTTGTAGTTGGGGACCTAAACCGCAATGACCCTACACTTTGACGAGCATCTTTGACAAATGCAACAAGAAGTTTTATTTTTACATTTTTAATCCTACTTTCTCCTTCGTTTATTCTTCTTCTGTGTCTGTTGATTCTGATTTTTTTCATTCTCTTTTTCTTTTCTAATTCTTCTTCTTTCAACCATTCTTCATTCGTGTTCATGATTATTTTTTTTGCATTTTTTTCTATGTTCTATATTTGAGTTCGTATTTAAAGTTTCTATTTATCATCTTTTATTCTTTTATTTCTTATTTAGGTGGGTCCCTTATTATGTTCTAAGTTCTATCATTCCTATTCTATTATTATTCTTATTCCTATTTTTTGGACAATGTCTAGCAATTCAAACTAAAGTCAGACACCCTCAAACTTTATTAAGAAGATAGGCATTAGATGAAAATATTGTCATCTTATCAAAGAGAATGATATCAATGAAATTATTTGTAATTACTACCAAAAAATCATGAAATGGGGGATTACAATAAGAAAGCAATATCTGATGGAAAATAGGGGAAATGTTGCAGCTTCCCAAAGTTGTCCAAAAGAAGTTAGAGATAACTTGTGGGCACTTGAGAAAAATAAGTAGATAAAAAAGATTGAGTCATGTCAAAGAGCAATGGAAAATGTGACTATTGATAGTGAAGATCTTACATTGGAGGGAGATTTTAGAGAATTACAACTCAAACACTTAGTGTCAATGAGAGGAAAAAGGTTTCTATGAAGAAGCTATGGCAAAAGTCCACCAATATTTAACTCAATTTTGATATAAAGGTAGACCATCTTTCAAGATGATCAAATTGGAGAATTTCCATTACATGGTTGCGACTATTGGATCTTTTTGACCGCATTTGTGACCTCCATCTTATCATGAGATAAAAGTTCCACTTCTCCAAGAGAAGTTGAAGTATACTGATAATTTAATTATGAGGCAAAGACAATAATGAGATAGTTTTAGATGTTTTATCATGTCAAATGCTTAAACAGATAAGAAGCAAAGATTCATAATTAATATTTTGGTGACTTCTTCTACAAGGACAATGTTCATCAAATCTATTGATGAGTCTAATTTTGTGAATACTAGAGAGAAATTATTTGAGTTACTTGACTCAATTTTAGAGGAAAATTTTGTTCAAGTCATCATAGAAAATGTGAGCAATTATGCTCTTGCAGGCAAGATGTTGGAGGTAAAAGTCCCTAAATTTATTGGAGTTTATGTGCAACACATTATATAGATTTAATGTTGGAGGACATTGGGAAGTTTCCTAGTATTAAGAAGATAATTAATCAATAAATCTCTCTTGTTAGCTTTATTTATAGTCATTCAAGCACTTTAAATTTGTTAAGATTCTATACAAATAAAATGGAGCTAGTGAGGCATGTAGTGACCCGATTTGCAGCATCTTTTCTTTCCTTGGAAAGGATCCACAAAAAAAATCAAATTTAAGAAAAATGTTTGTTTCAGATGAATGAAATTTAAACAAGTTGTCAAAGGAAGCAAAAAGAAGAGAAACAAATAGAATTGTATTAATGTCTTCTTTTTGGAGGAATGTGATGTATATACCTAAAGACATGGTTTTTCTTATGAAAGTACTAAGGCTTGTTGATGGTGAGAAAAAGCCAATTATGGGTTATATATACATGAAGTTATGGACAAGGAAAAGGAAGTTATTATAAAGTCTTTTAATAATAATGAGAGCAAATATAAAATAGTATTTGAAATTGTTGATAGAAGATGGAATATTCAACTTTATCCCCAATGCAGTTGGTTATTTTTTGTATGTAGAAGTGTTTTATGACAACCCTTAGTTAAAAAATAAATAATATAAAATGCATATGTATATATATATATATGTATATATATATACATAAATATAAAAATATAAAAATTAAAGTTAATTTTTATAAATATTAAAATATAAATTAATTATTTTAATAATTAAATAATTTAAATTATAACGATAACTAAATAAAAAAAATTAAAATTATACGTTTAATTAAAAATATAATTTAATTCTTAAATTTTCTATCTATAATTTTTTTTCTTATTTATTATTTTTTATATATCACTTATTTTATAATATAATTATTAACTTATAATTTAATTTATTTAAAATGTATAAATAAATTAAAATTCTAAAAAAAATGTGATGAGTCTCCTTGAATTTATCCAAATTCAACAAAATTCAATGAAAATGGAGATGAATTTCAAAAATATAAATCCGTCCCCTTAAAATCCAAATTCAATCCTGTTTCATCTTTTATGAGGATGAAAATGGAAAGAACAAACTTGTTTTCAATCCACTCTGTTATCATCCCTCGTAAAAGAACTCATAAGTTTTTTTTTTTTTTAAATTGTGAAAGGAACCTCTGCCAATTTATTGATTTAATAACTACTTATTGGCAAACCCAATATGCACCAAAAATCAATTTTGATGAAGATTTCAAATGTGAAGACGTATTCCTACACATTGGGGAAGAACTTCGCTACAATGATAGGTATTATTGTCCCAATTGTCATTGCATCCATTGTGACTATCATAGTCGTTGTTACTACTACCATATTTGTGTCAACCTTATACTAAAACTATGACTATACAAGATTGAAATCATTTATGGCTCGTGTGAACAATATTAAGTCGAGATTGAGTATGTTTAGATTTGCGTTTGAAAAATTGATTTACCAAAATCAATTTCGTGGACGCAGAAGTCACTTTTTTTAGCTTCAGCCAAAATCAATTTTCACCCTTAAAATCATGTAATGAAAAAAAATCCAAACATTTATTCAACAGGAAGAATCACGATTCATCCTAAAAACTTTTCGTCATATAGACTTACACTTAATAACTTGACAGTACTGATTGGTTCCTTTGAAGGAGAAGCAAGTGTGAAAAACAATTATCGATAACTTAGAAGAATAATACATTTTAACACTGCATTATAGATGGTTCAGTTAACACTTAACAGAAAAGTCATGGAATCAATCAAATTTTAAATTAAAGAAATGCTGCTGTCTTTAGATCACACACTGAGAAAATCATATCCGTACCATCATCGCAAAGAACAGCTTCTTGACTTTAGATTTAACACTACACGTTCTAGGATCAACTAAAGTAAAAGAGTGGTAACATGAATTTGTAGAGTGAAAAATGCATGCCTCCCTCTCTAAACAGCTCAATCACGCAGTCACGTTTGAGTTAGCAGAAATTTCCTGGCAGAAGCGTTATAACAAAATGATTAGTCCATACGGGCAAAGGGTGTATGAATATGAAGTATTCCAAAAGGTGGTGTCTGACCTTTTTTTTTGTTTCCCATGGTATCTTTTAGTCAAATTTCACTTATTAGTACCGAGATTTATTTAAGGAGTTAACCTTTCTCAACAAATATTTTTCTATATGCATTTATCATGAATCAAACCTTCGACAACATTTTAAGAGATAAGATTATCTATCAAATTCGTAACACCTTGTTGGTGAGTGACATATTCTATTGACCAAAGACATAAAACAATCGTAGGCATCAGAAATAATTTGATTACCTTAGTGCAAATATATATATAATGGACATCAGGATTCCGTCCTAGGGCTTCCTCCACAGAGCTTCCATCATTATTAAGTGGAACAGGTTTTGTCAGCTCCCAAACTGGATGTTCAGATTTCTCTTCCGA